GCGGCACGCAGGGCGACGGCCCTATGTAGGCGGTGTGGTGCTCGTGGAGCGATCTTGGAGATGGACGGCCATTTTTGGCCACTCAATGCGCAGCCACTCCGACGTTTTTGGCATTCAAAAGGCTTCGAGTCCGTAAAGTGCCACTCCGAATTGTTTTTGGTCGCATATATTAAAATTTGTCACTGCGGATGCTCTAACTCTCCAGCATTTTCGAGTCGGCTGAAACTGGTTGGTTTTAATGAAAGGCACAAGTCCACCAACTTTCAAGCCATACGTACTTGCCCTATACACATGCTATCCATTTCAATTTATTCTCACCCGTGTGGCTAGATAAAGGTGTGACAGCTCAATTCTAGCAAGACTCCTCCACCAACGAGTACAAACAAATCCACATTGCTTCTATCTTCTTCATACTATGGATGCCCAATTCAGTAGGACGAGTAAGAATCAATATGTAATCGAACAGAAATGTGCAAAGTACTCAAGCGCTTCATTTGTTGAGGGCACCTGAGCGCCTCCCAAGAAGAAAAGCAGAAAACGCCAGAAGTGCAAGTGGAAGTGGCACCCCCATGTTCATAAGGAATTCCTGCAACCGCTCCTGCAAGTGCACACCAGAATATATCCTCTGAAATAATGAAAGAATATTTGCTGTATGGTACTTGGCGGAGTTGTAAGTGGAACAGGTGCTCGGATTCCGTTCCAGTAAAACGAGCATTTAAGCAGCACGAATGACTCTAGGAGGCATCAGTGGTCGTCAATGCCATCGCATGAAGTAGGTGAAGAAACGACAGCACAACTGAGAAGGACAATAAAAGTAATTACTCGGCATCAAAAGGTCCTAATAAAAGATAATGGGTGACATCGGGGGAAAGAAGACACCCCCGGCGAGCTCATACTGAAGAGTGTGACTGACGTCCTATAACTTGACTCAATCGCCCAGAGCACGGAACTCCCCAAAACCAATGAATTTGACCAGCCCGTCTTTGATCTCGTCAGAAGACTGCGAAACCAATGCGGCTGTCCATTCCATGAGTTTTTATTGGTACCATAAGTAGAAAAGAATGAAAAGTCACAGTCATGAGATATGCCGACTCGTGATAGAACCAATAAATCGAAGTGATAAGTCACACGCGAAAATTCATCGCTCAGCTGTAAAGCAGAGAGGATCGAATGACGCGATCGCGATCATACCCAAACACTGATATTTGCGTAAAAATGTGACAGACAAATTAGTAGCACCATCCTCATCTTACTACGATTACAGTATGGGGGCTTCGCCTGCTGGAGTTCGTCGTTTGCTCCTAACTATTATCCAAGTGTTTTCGATCCCCTTTGAATGATTAAAGGAATGAGTCCATCTATAGGAAAACTGTTTAGAAATTGCAAAGGCAATCAGTTTGCTGCCAAAATCTGACACAAGTTGATAACACTGCTCGCGCTCTGCGTTAGAGGTCAAAGAGGATAGAAAGTGCCGTCCGCACAAAGCACCGCAGAACCGGATTCTGAAAGTCCCAAAGAATTGCCCTAGTCGATCCATCCTACTTCATCCAGTTTAGTGGAAACGTAGTTGGGAGAGAATGAGCGCACCCATAGTGTCTATGTCAGGACGAATGCCACTTCATGCCCCTGGCTGTGCTCTCTCAACGAGATTGTGTCCTCTTGATCAGTCAAACTTTCGCATTGGGTCAACCCACGCTCCGGTGCTCCTCTCCTCCATGCCAAATTTCCTAGAGAGATTGCGAATAAACAACGGAGAACAATCTAGTTAATCACAAATGGAAGAACATCAAAATGGTATAAGAAGAAGAAAATCGGGAGCACGTTGAAAAGACACATGCAGTGAGAGACCCCTTACGATTGAAGAGGATGACAACCACACATGAAATCCAACATCGATTTTGGTATAGGAAAGTTGCCAAGATCGGTTTTTGCCCAGTTCTTTCGATAACTTCCCAACAGAGTTTGCATCTGAACTCATTGTAAGTTCATAGTTGGAAATTCGAGTTTGAAATTTGAACACCTCATTCAGTCACTTCTACAATTATTTACGAATAGACCTGGACCATGCGCGAAGGATTCGATATACTTGCAGAGCGAAGGGACAGACAGCCAGCTGTAAGGATTAATCGTTAGCGAGAAATTTTATATAGTGTTCAGTGAAATCGCAGAACGAGCAAAAGTTGTAACAACAAGAGCCGGCTTGAGCGAGATCCAGCCAGAGGAGCAGAAGTAGAGGCAACAGGTCACAAACGGCAGGTGACGTCTCAAATCGCCCCGAGGGAGCAGTCAAGTGCTATGACTTATTGCCGCCTGTCAAGGACGTTCTGATATTCCTCTCCAGCTCCATCTAAGGTTAACGCGTCACTGAGTATATTCTGAGTATATTTAGAAGATGGGCTCATTCGTTTTCAATGGGCCATCACTTTTATTATATAGTCAATGAGGGCGGAGGCGGAAATGAGATCACGACGTAAAAAGTCGCGTACCAAATTGAATTCCACCAACGATACCAAGCCTTTCATGTTACAAGGGCCGGCCAAGTGATATCTGATTGGATTGCATGAATAAATACTCTAATTTATGGATCGGCTGGCCAGCATGAGTCAACCCATAAGTCAAGGAAGCATTGGAATGCAATCGGAAAGCTGACAAAAAATGGTATGGCGCCTCCCAGAGGAATCTGATCAGCTCAGAATTATTTTTCTCACTGATGTAGCAAAGCAAAAGAAATCAAGAAAAATTTGATCCGGGCTGTTATAAGATCCCTATCATCAAACGATACGATTAAACCTCAAGATTGCATAGAAGACATGCGGAAACTTAGGTAAGCAAAAACTAAATTAGCTGAGACCGCTCAAAACTTTGGGTACTATTGGGGGGACTCTTGCTCGAAAAAAAGGCCTCCGTGAGATATCAGTTGTGGCTTGGACGTGGTTAATCTCCTACAGCAAACCATTTACCTTATCTTCGCATTATTTTCTTCTATCTTGTCGAACATTTCATCTGACCATTAAAGTGAACCCAGATTCATCTATGAAGGTTACAATTTCGACGGGGAAGTCAGGCGGTTTCAACAGGTCCAAATCTCATTCGAACGGAATTCATGAAAGAACTCAATAAGGTGATGGGTAGGCTTATTACTGAAGCCCTTCAAGAGAGAACAATACATTTAGAAATGGATTAGAGACTCTGTTAGTGAAGAAGGACTGATTACAGAACTGTGCAGACGTTTTCTATACTTAATATTGCAAATTATCCTGTGCCCAAACCTCAGTTAGATCGATGGCGTTGATTAATGGTCTCAGGCGATAGGAGATTAACTGAGTAATATATTCGGTACATTCGAGCCTACATATCTGGAAATCGACAGCAAGCATAATCGATAGAAATAATGGAAGAAACGAGGGGACACTCAGAATACATAGTAATTTCTGGCGCGAAAAAGTGGGTAATACACCTTCGGCATGGGCCATTCACTAGTGTCTAAGCCGATTTGGACTCGTTTCCTGTTCCTGTCAGCGACGACGGCGAGAAGACGACAACAATGAATAGAGCTCATCAGATCAGGTGAGCACTAAACCGTTGCAAATGTGGAAGCAGGAAATCGTTGCTAGTAGGACCGCAGGTCCAGAGCAAGAATAAGTCAGACATGGCTGGAAATAATGAATGTTGGCCCGACGGTCTCTCCACCTATTGGAAAAACTAAATCAACCGAGAGAAACTGGCCCCTAATGGAAAACAATCACTCAGGCCTTCAACAACATCTTATAAAAGATTCGCTCAATACCTATAAATGCATCTACAACGCAGAACGAGTTAGTCCTATAGGAACTGAATGATTATGGAAATTGCACTCTCCTCTTTAGAGCATTCATGCTCCCTAACTGAAGGGAAACTCGCACGAGAATCGGCGCAGTTTTAAGTGTCTGAAGTATAAACACACATACCAGCCGATGTCATCCAACTCGTTCAGTGGACATCACACTCTTGAGCCTCATTGAGACACAATGATCATTAGCTGGAAAGCAGCTCCATGCCTTCGAGTAGGGCTCATCGCAAGAACAACAGAACCACTAAAACGAGAGTTCTCTCTGGTTCTCGAACAACATCAGAGAAATTAGGTAACTCGGTTAAAATGAACGAAAGACTCGGAGAATATTAGTTGAAATGTGTGTTCATATAAAACGAACCATGTCAGAGGTTATGAAATCACTGAAAACTGTCTAAAGTGTAAAGTAAGCGAGTAAATGATCTTCCATACCGGTCGTTTGCCTAGATTTCTTGCCGTGACCATTGTGAATATTGTGAAGCCCTAAATCCATGGCGATCTAAAAAAGCTCAGGTTACATATGGTTGTCCCTCACATAACCATAGATTACAAAGGAATTGCGACAGCCGAAGCCTTCAATGATCACATCTTCCATGCAACACTAATTCCACGATGCTCGCTCCATTTTCAACTGTTCATTTTGTTTTTTCCCCCAGACCGATCTTTAACAATGACAGAGGATTTCCGGGAGACGCCCACTGCTCAAACAAGTCAAAAACGCTTTAAAGCAAAAGCCAGCACCCTTGCACCAAAAGCATGCAAGCCACATAGTCAGACCTGCTTTTCAATTGGAAAAAAGTTGATTTCCCACTCCTGTCGGATGCCGCAGCCAACCTTACTGTTACAACTGCAAGCTCTGACTTGTTTCTTCACAATTTTCAAGAAAAACGCCAACAAGAGAATAACAAGCAAGACTGCTTGAAAATACAGCTCATATTCTGACTCGCCTCTAGTTGCTCCCACTTGGACTAAGGAGCTATCAATTCCTCAAGTTGATATATTAATACAACCCGAGAATCACACTCAGGATACATCCGTTATGCAAATTGAGAGATCCAGTTTATACAAACACCGAAAATGACCCAGACAACAGCTACAAAACTTTAATAAAACGTGGAAACATGACAAATTGTTAAAATTGTTAGTAGCAAGCATATCAAGGACATTCAAACTAGTCCATATTGTCTTCTTCATCGATCTTCGGGGCCAAGTAGAACCGTAGATGACCGTTTTGTTGGCCTGTCGACTTGCCGTCATCGGTCAAAGGATACCTATATCATAAAGACCCATTCACATCACTCGCATCGGGAAAGGCTGGTCACCAATGCACTAGCAAAAGCTTAAACAACTCACTCAACAACGATGGGTACATCGTTACTCAACGATATACGCACACGACTTGACAAAGACGAAGCTTTCGTGAACTGATTCATATATTTGATAGAAAAGTTCACATTGACGGGATCCGTAACCTCGAGTGTTACAGCCTAAACAACGAGCACAACAGTGAAATGCTAATGTCAATTACCACTTACAGAAGTGGTTCTAGCAGTTACAATCCAAAACTATGGAAACGCTTACATCATCCTCGCTATCAGCACTACTATTCGGAGAGTACGTAATCACCGACTGGCCATTATCACCCTTTCCAGAGAAAACAATACCAGCCTGAAATCATGGGCTCCATCAAATACGGTATCACTTTGAAGAAAAGATTGAAATAACCTTAGTTGCGGTGACATTGAGCGTGTCAGTGAACATGGTCAAATCCTTGCACGTTTTCTGGAACTCCGAAGCAGGCATTTCACACACAACAGCATAATCCTGCTCAGGGATTCCCAGATGTTCACTGTCGATATCCATCATTTTAACTGTGACGTCCTAGACATTCACACTATCTCATTAAGTGAGTTTGGGAAGGGATGGACAAGTTACCTGTGTTTTGTCTCTTTTTGTATCAGCAAAGGTGAACGTGATACTGTCGCTATCGCCTTCCTCATACTTGATCATACAAGTGTCATCATTGTTTGCGCATTTCAATGCTTTCGACATATTGGCCAGTGACATTCCAAGGTTTATGGTCCTATCACATCGATAAGTATCGAAGAGACCAACCTAAAGTATCTGTAGTAGTATATAACAATTGTCATTTCGAAACTGAAGAAAGGAATTCATCCATGGGTAGCGGGAGGCCCAGTCTGTATCACCTAACGTAACGTATGAAAGACGACATTTTGAAGGACAATAAATTATAAACTAATGATGAGTTTCTATTTCTTATTTTTAACGAGTCAAATAGCCTGCTGTTTATTAACAATCTTTGGTGATATGTCGTTCATCGAATTCCCGTAGTAATCGAAATTCTTTTGCATCCTAGGCTGAATTCGCTGTAAGTTTAGGTTTTTTTTTTGGGAGTTTTTAACCCTTCGAATCACAGCCGTAAATTACTGGTCTAGACCTCATTACCTTCCCTCATCGTCTTTTGGAGAGAACATAGAGGGGTTTCGGTTACATGAGCACATCACGAAATTGTCACACTCGGTTTTGACAACCGTGTTACTGATCAATATTTCTGAAAGCTGGTCGCTGACGCTCAACCCAATATCATGGAAATTTCGGAGTTTTCGCCCTAGGTTTAACTCTTCATAAGGTGACTAGTAGTTGTTGCTTTGTCGTAATTACTCAGCTTTTTTTGGGAGCAAAAAGACTAACTTAATACATATTTCCTTATACATTTCTATATGAGATGGCTCCTCCACAAGGAGCAATCAGCACCTATGGCTCGGATGAGTTTAAAAAATGCACCTCCATCTTGAGTGAAACCAGTGCTACGTGGGATGAGTCCATAGCTTGGAGACACATTGCCGATTCAGAGCAGTCAAACGGAGCATCAGTGACGAGGTCCTGAAGTAATCTCTTTTGTTATGTAACACTACAAGTAACCTAGGTAATTCAAACATCGTATGGGCATACCTTGATCGCTTCGATGATCTTTTTGAGGAGTGCAGCATTAGCTAACTTGGCCTCGAACATTATGAGTGTTAGTAATCTGAAAACGCTATCAAACGAATTGAATTAAAAACTAGGAGTGTAACACAATCGCCATTCTTCAAAAATCCTCATAGATAGGAGCCCAAGTAGAAGATTCGTCTACTATGTCCGGTAATCAAAAGAAGCACTGGATAAACTAGAAACAAATGAATCGGAAGCAGAAGCGAAACGGATTTCTACCCACTTCGAGCGTATGTTGAATTGTGTTCAAGGGAACCTTCGAGGATATGTAGAAGGACACGATGAGAAACGGAGAAAAGGATAATCGCCAAAAAACGTAACAACCTCCCCAGGAGTAGAGCCTGCGTTGATTGGCGACTTTCGAAGTTTTCGCGCGCACTTGCCGCTTTCCCGCGTTTTCTGTTCAAATCCCATATGCCTCCCTATCGTCTTTAGAGCATCATAACCACCATATCTCGTCAATTGCATGGGAGTGTTACCTCTGGTGGTACTTGAAGTGACAGTAATCGCATTAGCACTTCGTTGAGTGTATTTTTTATGGCTATTAGGCTATTCGTAGGTCCCAGTTAATTGTACTCGTTAGCACTTTCTTCACACAATCAGGTTGGCCCTGTCTAAGAAACCAGCCAGGATGGCGTAAATGGATTGATGCTACCAAGATTCTCGAGCTGAGCGTATTTCAGTTGTGGGAAGCTCCAAACCGAGGAACAAGGGGATCCATACGGAATTGTGCCTTTTTTGGATGATGTAAACCCCAAACACGAAACATTGTATACCAGACCATCTACCCATACCTGAAGAAACATCGAACAGGTACGGATAATTCGAAGTATAAACGTTCAATAAGTCGGGAAACATTCCCATTCAGTAGAGAAATTCTATCGAGAAGAGTTTTTCAACCATGAACATCACCATATATTGATGATGCAGCTATACTTACAGATGCTAGTTTACCTCTCAGCGACGGAGTTGAACAAACTCATGTGGTCGCTCCCTTTGATTTTTTTTATTTTACGGCCATGTTCTGATATCACGCTTTTCTTGAATCAAGAGGTTACTGAGTAAGGATTTGACAATGTCGGACATGAGTGGTCTCTCGAAATACTGAAAACCTGGGGAGAGAATGTAGTCCTCTTACGTTGAGCTCAATAGCAAAAAATTGCACAGGCGAGCTACAAACCAGATCAGGAGGGAGGGCCGGTACCCCGCCACAGCGGTGATCATTATACTTTGAGCTTGTTATCTATGGCAATCAAGCTTGAACGCTTGATATGGGAAGAATGTTCCGATCTCATCAGTGCAGTAGAATTTTCTATTTTTTTGGGAAAATCCTACGCTCTTAATTTCCCAAGAACTCTACACCATAGAATAACACTCTCACAAAAACTTTTGAGGAAAATGGATTCGAAGCATTGAGGTTGCCATAAAAAATTGGACTTCCCTTTGGTCTGCATAGAGCTGAAATGATTATTGGAGGCACTATTACCAAGTGATACTAAATCAGTGGAGTAAATTAGCGGAACAGTCAGCACAGCAGTGGCAATATAGAGGCATCAATAGCAGTGTACCAATCATTCGTAGGCTTGTCATCTCATAAGCATTATCTCTATACGATTTATCATTAATAAAAACAACAGACAAAACAATAACAATCATTTCGTAATAGTCAACCACAACAGAATTTTAACAATAAATTTTATGAAACAATGCAAGTCAAGCCTTTCTAAATGATCGCCCACGATAAACGAAGTGAGCGTTCGTGCAGAACTTCTGATGGCTATTTGTTAAGTGTCAGGGTCTGGGTAGGGAGCTGTAAACAAGAAAACGCTCCACAACAACTAGAACATCGAAGATTAGGTCGAGTATAATACACAAGTTCGTATGTGACCATCACCGAAGGAAAAAATAAATTATTGGAACAATCAGTGGAATTTAGTCGATGTCGATGCGAAATTGACAGAAGAGGAGGTTAGGAGATGACGAGGAGATAATAAACGGGAAATTACTTCCTTCGCTTTCCACCACCATGCTTCGCCCCACCTGCACGAGCAGCTTTCTTTTTGAGATTTTCTTGTCTTCGATGTTCCATGTACTCCTGCAGTTTCGCAGATTTCTTTCGAATCTTCTTAATTTGGCTTACATTTCGGAGCTCAGACTTTGGTCCCTGGAAAAGAAAAACATAGAAACCAGGGCAATACGATTCCATGAGAAAAAAAATAAAACGAGTAAGACCTTAGCATGTTGCCTCCTGTTGTTATGAGCCTTCCATTTATTGAAAGTGGAGGACTTCTTGCTACCCGAGGTTCCCGCCTCCTGTTCCTCTCCATCTTCGTCATCAGCCTAGGCGAACAAAATATTGCAGTCAAGTCACAACACAGCATAAAATTGCACTACTGGATGAACGATTTTTACCTTTTTATACCCGATCTTCTGTTGACTCTTCCAGTCCTCATACCGACCAGTTTTGTAGGAAGCTGGAAGCCAGGTTCCATCCTCTGTACGGATCCTCTTTATGCTTTGCCCATCACCTTCTACTCCAACGAATCGCTTCTTCTTACGATCCCTGAAAGCATAACTAATAATATAGAAGATTGAAAAAACCTCAAAAGCTTGATGACCACAATACGTCATAATACTTGGTAGAACCTAATTGATTTCCAATTCTTTGATGAGGAATAATTTTGAAAGACATTCAATTCGATATTGAAAAAAGCAATAAGAAGGTTCCAGTGAAATGAGCAGTGTGCTCTTACCATCGCTTTGCGTGCTTCTGCTTATACAATCCTTTATCGTCATCAGCGAATATCTCCACAGTCGCATTATCAACTTGCTTGGCAAAGTCCACCTTCTCCAAAGCTAAATGCTTCTCGGATTCATGATCCGCCGCAGAATAAGCCACAAAATTCCTAGCCTGAAATAAAATTGATCAATCACTAATTACATATCATTACATGGTGACCTTTCGAACCTTTTCTCTTCTTCGCTCCTCGGCTTTGTCTATCCTTTTTGAAGTTTTGTTTTTGCTGGTTTCGCTGTTGTGACCTCCGCGTCCCACTACTTCAGTGAACACCGCTGACTAAGAAACCAGGCTATTAGACGGAAGATTTCAGGTATAAATGGTACAGACATTCCTAGATAGGTTTGTAGGGTAGTTTTGAGGGCACAAAATGAAGCGATTTGCACTGCTGAAACGTCGGCGCAGCTCCGATTTACACTGTCATTAGAATTCAAAGAGCACTCCACAAAAGTGTTTTATCGACAGGGAGGGAAAACAAACTTTATCAAAAAATCTTATCTCAAACCCCTCGACGTAATTGTTTGCAAAGTGATAGGTGAACGCTACAGGGATTGAATGAACACCCGAAAAAGAAAAGGCCAACAAACGTCAAAATATGTTGCGGCAAGCATGTACCACAACGGTTCAGAACCATCGATATCCACCGGCAGAAGGGTATTTTTCAGATATTAGACTTGTAGTCATAATTACAAGGGAGCGAAAAATTCGCAAGGAAAGTTGATCATTGAAAGTCGATTACATACACCCTAAGTTCGAAACGCTCAAGGCAAAGGAATGTCGTGCTGATTCGAGAATTCGATTTCAGATTCTTCTCCCGAGTATGAAATGAGTGATCAATGACACTGCAATTACTACTAGCGAAGTACTCAAGGCATATATTACGCAGTTTTCCCGTCAAACTACAGCAAAAAGCAACTACAAATGAACCACGACTCACAATGGTTGCTTCATCTGCGTTCTCAGTGTTCGAAACATCAGTCACTTTCTCCTGACCTCCGTCCTCTGTGAGGAGAGCTTCCGTTTTTCGAGCTTTCTCTTCCTCAACTTGACGAATGCGTTCTTGGTGCTGACGACGTTTTTCTTTCATAACAGCAGCAGAATGAGATTTGCTGCCAACGTTCAGCTCGAAAATTGTCTATAAATTCAAAATTTCAAATGAACTAATCATATAATGCTTTCTTTCCAATCGACTGATGGTTTTTGGAGGCTAACATACAGCACAGCTCTTGTATTTTGCCAGTTTGTTCAGTATAGAGTACTGTTGCGTATCCTGAGCAATACGTAGGAATGGATGTGCGGAACATTCAGCCACCTTTAACCTGAACAGCAAAAAATATTTTTGAAGAAAGCATAGTATCGTAGCACTTTTATGTGTTTAACTCAAAACATATTTCAACCGATAGAGCTATTACTTGATAGCCCTGCCCTGGCGCCCCCTTCATCAGACTAGTTTTGCTAAGATGCAGAACATGGTGAATGGTCGATTCGGAAGGTAACCAAAGCGTAATGAATCAAATAAACACAGAACGAACTATCTAAGCCAAGCTAGATTAGCTCCAAACTGAGGCAACTTTTGAATAACGAAATAGAAAGCAAAAAATGAAAAAAAAAACAATTGAAATTACAATGAAGCCCTACCAGAAATTCTCACCGTAACTCTTCTTTAACTCGTCTGGCTGATTCAGCCGAAGGTGGTGGACGAGTGCGAATATACCGCATCATAGCATTCGTAGCTTTCTGTCGAAGATCCAGCTAAAACAGTGTTTAACACACCCAACGCAGGCTTTGGCGTAGATAAATGAACTGGTACCATTTCTTCATTATTGTCATGAATGGAATTGAAAAATTCCGCTTCAAGTGCAATCACGTTTCCAGGTGTTTTCCCAATCAGAGTAGTTTCCTCTTAAGATAACAAGTTGCATTCGAAGTTGGGAAGCAGCAATACTAACAAACAACAGCTTACCTTCATATTTGTCATCGTCTCGCGCGAATCGCATGGGTTTTCCCAAAAATAGGAAGAGATCTGCTAAATATGGCATTTCATCGGGAGCAACCAGTGATATTGCCGTACCACTTCGGCCAGCCCTAGCTACACGACCAACACGATGGACGAATAGTTTTGCCTTCGGCGGGAAATGGAGATTGATCACCTCAAAATGCAGAAACACTTAAAAGAATCGAGGTGGATAAGGGCAGAGAAATAAAATTATGGTTCATCGCACCGTATCGAGCAGAGGGATGTCAACACCACGAGCGGCTACATCGGTAACAATGAGGATATTGCTTTTCTTTTCCGTAAACCTTTAATGATAACCGTAACTATATGAGTAAAGAATTTATTACATCCTTTCCGAGCAAATAAAGCTCCTAAAGAGCACAAAATAGGAGCTAGGGCTCATAAGTACCTGGCAATATTCAGTTTCCGTGCAGTGGCGTCAAGTTGACTAAATATAAAGGAAGTATCAACACCAGCTCGATTTAATATCCCGACCACATATCTAAAACCGAATCGGTAATTTTTAGCAAACTTCGAATAAACAATACTAATAGAAGTCAGTTTGAAATATCCAAAAACTCATATGAACGAACTCAAAATGACTCTGAGTTTTAGGTTGTAGGTCACCTCCTAGGGAGAAAGATCGAAGGAATGTGCAAGAATGGAGCACTTACTCCACGTGTTTCATCGTCGCACAGAACACGACAGTTTGTTTCTGTTCAGCATCCATTTGTCGGCATAAATGCAACAATACGGCAAGTTTCTCGTCAGCTCTACATGTCGCAAACACCATAGAGAGACGTTCAGAGATTTTCTCGTCGACATCGAGACGAACTTAAATGAAGACATTCAACGAATGAAGAGCAGTAGCTCAGAAAGTTCCATTACCTAACATAGGATCCGAAAGTCCAGCTTTCGCAAAATCCACGAGAATTTTCGGTAAAGTGGCCGAGAAGAGAAGGGTTTGTCTCTTTTCCGGTATTCGCTTGAGGGTCTCCTTCAAAAATCGACATTATTGGTATTCTCTAACCTAGCGTCTGATTCCATACCGTTAACTGGTCTTGAAATCCCATTTCAAAAAGCCGGTCGGCTTCGTCAAACACGACATACTGTATTGAACTGAGTCGTAGATCCATTTCTACTATAACGTGAAGGAGACGACCAGGTGTTGCAATTAATCTACAAAGCACGATGTTCAGGGAAGGTGCGCACACTGTTATTTATAAAGAAGGAGACTTCACTTTCAAAATATGAAAACACCCACATGTCAGGATTCTCATGAATACTGGAGAACTGATCTTCAATAGCATCTCCGCCGACCAGAACAGCACATCGAAGACCCGTAAAACGCCCCAACTGCAAAAAAAAAACACAGAATCGGATCTTCTAAACATGCATCATGCAAATATCAAAAATTGAAGAAGATGTTATACTGTAAAGAACACGAGCACCAGGAGAACACTAAAGATTGCCTGCCGATAAATAGAACGAAAATAGCCTTACGCCAGTTCCCTGCCCATTGCAAAGATTGGATATTTTCGACATACCTCCTTAACAACTTTAAATGTTTGCAGTGCGAGTTCCCTTGTAGGCGATACCAAAAGAGCACGTATACCCCTAGTGTCTCGTCTTTTTAGTTGCTGCAGAAGTGGGATAGCGAATGCGGCTGTTTTCCCACTGCCTGAAAGTGAGGAAAGTTGATTCTGTACTTGTAAATGGTTGATATTCAACGCTACGTTACAGGGGAATTACGTCTTGAAACTGCTTTCAAAATGGAAGCCTGTGCATCACGAGCAGCACATTAAACGGTTAACGGTCTTCCCGTGATGCAACAGAAGCAGCATAATGCAGCTAAATGAGAGGCCGTAGAGTAGCTGACTTTTGTTTTGGCTTGAGCAGAACTTGTGTATCGGTAGCGAATTCGAAGTCTCAAAACACTTTACCTGTACGTGACATTGCCACTACATCTTTACCATCCAGAATGCATGGAATGGTTTTTCGCTGTAACAGTATAGTTGAATGAAGCGAGCCTTAATCAGTGAGTAAACCGAGCGCGTACCTGGATAGGTGTCGGTTGTTTGTATCCTTTCTTTTCTATTCCTTTGAATACGGTATGATCCAATCCTGAAAAGGAGAATCAAATAAACTGAACACAACATATCACAACTCTACTATACCCATCGCCTGCCATCCTCCGGCCTTTTTTTGTTTACGATTCTTTTCTGACTGAAGATGTGAATAATCGCGATCTTCGTCGTCTGACATACCCTTTCCTATAAAATTTCATAGCAAATTAATTTCATAATTATTATAACTCTAGAGAAAAGATACACCTTCGCTGGAAGTGGAACGAACTAAAGGTGATAGATGACCCTGACAGAAAATTTAGTTCTCATTTGTGATACCTTTTCGGTATGGTGCCATTTTAAAGTAAAACTAACTACACCAAATGGTAAATACCTGCTTGTAAAAGGTTAGGTTATCCCAAACACACTAAAATGCTTTCAGTACAAATACGTGTAGTCCCAAATAGGGCAATAGACCTGCATGATTCATGATATCAGGATACTAACGTTACAAAATAAAAATTTAGCTGCGCCGAGTTCCAAAAAGCTCTCATTTAAGCAAAAACTAAACAAAAAGCTCAGCATAGATGCATTTAGGCACAACGGCGATATAGTAAAATACAGCATTTAATGCTATCGTATGGCTTGTTGAAGAGAATGGATAGCAATCAACTTAAGCAGCGCATCATCGGCAATTCACGACACTTTCTATGCGAAAATATGCAGAAAAAAGCAAAAAATGCGCTCCAAATTTGCGAAAAAACTGACGAGCGCGCGATGCTTGCTGCGCGCGGATCGTCTGGCAAAGTGCCCGGTAACCGTTGTGGGAGCACAGTTACCGACAGACGAAAAAAACAAAAACCCACTGAAATAACAAAATTTAAGCCTGAATGGCCCATTTCTTTTTCTTTCTTCAATTTCTTTTTCTTGGGTAGAAGTCGCACAGACTTCTAGAAAAGCTGGGAAGAGTGCGACGAGTATTGCGTATCTGGCAAAATTCCAGCCATTTTGTAACCCGTCGCCGTGCAGCTACACGCCCCTGGATGGGTATCATTATTCCACGCATTATTGAAATGTCAACCTTCGATGAGGAGCTGCATCAGTTGTTTCCTTCTAACATCGTCTTCACTCAAATTGTTGAGGAAAAGCAGAAATGGGTCCCGTAAACGCCCTTGCTCATATGCTCTGTGTAAACGAGATCAAGGACGTGTCATCATGGGAATGAAGCGCAAACAAGGATGCATTCCAATTTATCCTATTGAATGGATGGATAGCCATGGAATATGCGCTCATTTCTTTTAGAAGTGAACGAAAAACCTTCTTATCGGGAATATGGCTATCCCTAACAATTGACTCATCGATTTTAGATAAAAGCGAAGTATATGACATTACCTCGGGAGAAACCAATCGATATGGGAACTTTGAAAGAAAAATACAACTTTATACGTTTATTACGCTCAAAGACGCGACACAGTCAATAATACTCCAAGAAATTCGTTACTACAGAACAACTTAAAAAGAATTAGGAAGGAAAGAAGGAACTCAGCAATAGCCCGGGACCTTTCTCTCCTCTGACTACTACAGAGAATAGGTGATTATGAGGGAGAGATGAGACAGAGAGAACAGAGCACAAACAAGTGTATCTGAACTCACTGAAAGCACAATGGAAACGAAAAGAAGTTCAGAAAAGTTACTATATTCATTATACATACCTAACAATCTAAATGAAAGATTTTTATTTCTACAATGCACTGCAGTTGCTACCACATATTCAGTAATAGGATTTGATCACAGACTCATATAGATGGATTTATAAACGAATACCTCGTCATCCCATTTAAAAGAAAATAAGAAAAAATGCGGAAAAGTAAATTGAAACGGAAAGAAGAGTATGGTACCCTAATAGTGGGTTTTCAGAAGAGCTTAAGATCCCAAAATGGAGTTTCAAATCAATTACAACCTCAGAGCGAACTCCGAAACTACATATTCCGGAATAAACACGAAACGAGCTGCATCTATACTCGGCGAAAACACAGCTGGTGAACCTTTCTTTTAGCTGCATCAAAGGTCAATCGACTTTAGTCCATACATATTTCGATCGAGCTACAGACAGCAAAGTTGCCCAGCTGCATTGATGCAATTCGTTCTCGTTCGTTTCGAAAAACAACAACGGGAATAAAATGACCCGAGAAGAAGCTGGATTAGCATAAATCTTAGACCCAGACTCGACATCGCTTCGATCGCTGATCCCATGAATGGTATCGCTCGTCACAATATTCTCAATCAGAAATAAATCTCAAAGACATTAACGAGCTCAATATGAAGCTCTTGCAAAGGCCTAAAGCCGCCATACCTCAAATCATTCGGAAAACCGACTATGACTCTTTCACAAAAAAAAACAAAATACAAGCAAAAAGCAGAGTTTCGGATGGAGAAATATAATAACTATTCCGCAATAGAAATCAAAAACGTACCCTTATAACACTACGGCAATATGAATTAAGACAAATTTCGTGAAATACCCGAGTACTTTCACTGTGAACATAATCGCAATAGAACAGGCATTTCGTGACTGTCGAAAAAGAGAGAGGGACCTTACGAAGAAATTGACAGAGTCACAACGATGGATCCAAACATAGCCATACTCTTGCGAACAGCCGTCGCTGGAAGTTTAGGTACGGCTGAGATCCAATTGCAAACGTGATGGGACCTGGAAGAGAATGTTCTAGGTAGTATTTTGCAGGGTTCACCTTCAAAAACTTGTTTCTCATAAACGTGCGGAACGAAGACTGAGTGCCTCACCGAATATTTAGTTGAAGTAAATTACTTGAACGAGGCGAATTTTTGGCTGTGCTTATGACATGCTTGTGTCAGACAAATGACGGTGGTTCAGAAAATTGGCACGAGATTTCGCATAGTTCAGTGAAGAATCAACAGCGACTTCAGAGAGTAGCTTTAATCTCTACGACTCGACGTTATTGTGACTTCAGAGAAAGGCGACCCCTATGAGAAGAGATATCTCAAAACAGTGAGGGGTTAACGCGATATAAGCAGGACCACAGAAATGGGGAAGGGTATTCTAACGTGATCACTCCATTTTGAGAGAAATACCGAATTTCCGCTCACTCCATAAGAAGGGATGATAAAGGTCGAAGCCATGCGTTGGCCAATGCAATTCTCTCTTCACTTGACCATGCAAAATCTTCAGCCAATCTAGTGCCCTACCGTCGCCTGGGCAACGAAAGAAGCACAATCGATATTCGCGTCCAAGGAATGATCTCGCTTAGATTGTTCCTCTATTCCACCCGGGTGTGCGACGTTAGTCTCGACTGACATTACTTCGCGCCGAGGTGCGAAGTGACCTCATTAATGACT